CCCTCCACATGTGGAGGGGACAGGATTGGTTCGGAGATCACCCGGCAAATTGTAAATAATGTATATAGGTATGTTTATATAAGATGTTTGTTTTACTTTTATTTCAATTTTTATTTACTTATGTGTATATATATTTTTTTTTTCTTTTTTCTTATTCTTTTGTTATTACTTTATTTATTTATATTTTTGTATATACGGTATGAATGTATTCTCTGAACTCTATTATAAGTGTCCTTAACTGTGACAAATTGTAATATTTCTGAATAAAGTGTTTAATAAAAATAAATCTCTTTAATTTGTTTTTGTTTTCTATCTTGATCTGCATGATCAGCTGTTTTAAAATTATAACCTTCCTTTTATGTGCATTTTCATGTAAAAGTAATATTTTTTTTCTCCTTATAATTATACCTTTTATCTTCATAATTTGGTAATTATTTACGAACGGTCCTCCACTCGCCATCTTGGTTGAACTGGTATTATGTCCCGTGTTCTGATAACGTTTACGAAATCTAGCACCAGAAAGCGCCACTATTGCGGAGGGGTTGTCTTGTCCCCTCCACCTTACCTCTGTTTTCAGTAAATATAGAAATTAGATCGTTTAGGTTATATATTACCCGCCTTTTTTTAAATTAACCATTCCTTACCCACCATTAAATAAGCATCGATTGAACACCCATTTCCATCTTATCCACATAATATTTTTATGCTTATACTTTTTATATATCCACATAATATATTTATGCTTATACTTTTTAGATATATTCTGTCACATTTTCAGTCTAATGTGCAGCATACTGTCTTAAACAATTTGTTAAACATTAAACAACTTCATTAACTTAAATTTTTAAATATTTGATGGTTGATCATTGTATATTTTAGATATTTAGATTGTATATATTCAATTTTTAAATACTTTATGCTTGACCATGCTATATTTTAGATTGTATGTACTAAAAAATTTACAATTTTCTATAAGTGTTTTAATGCTGGATAAGGGTTATGTTTTTCATTTATATGTTACTTAAATCTTCTAGCAATAAAACACATTTTCAGTCTACTGAGGTACATACTGGCATTACCAGATTCTAAGGGAAATGTTTCAGGATCATGTAGGAGAGCTCTAGCGATTCATTTAATTTAAAATAATCAAAGAAGAAAACACTACTGACATTCCTTTAAATCTGAACTTGTCAGCAACATTACGAGTTCTTAGCGATTGGTCCCTTGTATATTCCCCTTGGAACCGTACATTTTCTACATAATTAACTATGCCAATCATCGTATCTGTATGATAGACAAGTATCTTAGCAACCTGTATATATATATATAAAATGCAATGCTCCAAGAGGTATTTAGTTAAGCAGTAATCTTTTTCAAACATTAGCTAAATTATGTCAACTTGAGCCTGTAACATTTGTAACAGATGCTTTTGAATATATTTTTACCTATGCATCTCAATTATTCACATTTGGTTATTATAATTTCTAAATTGTCTTAATCTCCAATCCAATTTAAATTATCTGACCAGTTATCCCTAGCCATTTCCATTGCTGTCTACTTACATTATCTGTATCTACTTTTAGATAGATATATAGAAAAAAAAACTTTATTCTGGGACTAAGTCCCTTCAGAATAACAATAATGTACAAAATAATAGAATATTACTGGCCTAAACGTTTGAAACAATAAATAAAATTGATAAAATAAAATAAAAAGTAAAGAAAACCTTAAGTGCGCAAGCTATATACAATACAGATAAAACTATGTACAGAGCATTTAAAATTATATACATAACAATTAAAACTATGAACATATCACTTGAACTATAAACAAAACTATAAAGTTAGAATGTGTTCATTTCATAAAAAAATAAAATTTTACTTGAATATACATATAAAAATAAACAGTTAATTATAATTGAATAAATAAAAGAAATGTATGTATTGAAATTCCTATGTCGATAGTATGAAATGCATGAACTATCTCTTATCAAGTATTATGATTATATGATTGCTACACAATACATATATAGTATTAATAGTTAGCTGGTATCTGACTGTTTTTGGAACAGGAATTGGAATATGAGGTTTTTGAATGTGTATAGGGGAGGGGCATGTCGAATTTTGATCAGGAGGGAATTCCAAAAGTTGACAGAGCGGGCTATAAAGGAATTTTGGAATGAGGCAGATCTATGAGAAGGGATGTATAGGTCAGAGGGTAGAGATCTTGTAGTGAGGGAATGGATTGAGGACTTAAATTGGAGAAGGTTGTAGGCGTAAGAAGGACCGGTAATGATTTCATAAAGAAAAGTGCCTAGGAGGAAATATTGTCTTCTTGAATATATAACTATTTGAATATAAATTTATATAACTAAGGGACATTTTACATTTTATGAAGAAGAAGGTAATGAGTTATGTCTGGCGGAATACACATGATGAAGATAACTTACACTTTCTTGCCTAATAAATCATTCTGACAGGATTCAGAAAAATTAATGAGACAATACAATATAAAAGTAGATATAGATAATGTAAGTAGACAGCAATGGAAATGGCTAGGGATAACTGGTCATCTGGTATTGCCAGTATGTTCCTGAGTAGACTGAAAATGTGTTTTATTGCTAGAAGATTTAAGTAACATATAATTGAAAAATATAACCCTTATCCAGCATCAAAAGCATTATAGAAAATTGTTTAATTCTTCTTGCTAGAAGATTTAAGTAACATATAATTGATAAGTATAACCCTTATCCAGCATCAAAACCCTTATCGAAAATTGTTTAATTCTTCCTGAATTGTATTAATATTGGACATACTTAGATAATGTACAATTAGAGATAAAGTGTCACAATTAAAACAAAACTTAAGTTAATAAACTTCTTTCATTTATGATAAGGAAAGCGAAAAGCATTAATAATGCTGAATCTCGAAGCTAAAAAAACAAAAACGGGCAATATATAAACACTACAATTATAAATAATATTAGTAATATATAATGGTAAAAAAAATTGATGTAGGTAATATGTGTAAATAATAACATCTGAAATATAAAGTTTGGTTAATCGATATATTGAAGATACAAAGAAATCGACAAGTTAAAAAAAATGGTGGGCACTAAATATTGTAAAGGTTACAATTGGTAATTATTTGTAATGAACGTAAGGTGGAGGGGACAAGACAACCCCTCCGCAATAGTGGCGCTTTCTGGTGCTAGATTTCGTAAACGTTATCAGAACACGGGACATAATACCAGTTCAACCAAGATGGCGAGTGGAGGACCGTTCGTAAATAATTACCCATAATTTTTGTGATATATTCATGAATTTGGTTGGACAATATGTGTTTTTATCTGTCCTTTTTCTTCCTGTCAGCTGTTTGATTATAACCATCCATAGCTGTTACCTTATCTTCCTTCCAGTATGTGATTGGATGTCACAGAATGATTTGCTTTTCATTTCTGTCCTTATGATGCCTGAATTGGTGAAATGTTGATGGGTTTTTTTTTTATCTTATTCTTTACCTGCATTTTGGAGAGATAATGCTGTGTGGTTGAATTTTTTCCAATTAAAACTTAACATTGAATTTCTGTCTCTTAGTGAGTTTTCAACTGGTTTATATTGATCATTTTAATTATTCATAAGGAACTTTTCCCCCACAATTTTTTTTTTTTTTTATTCATTCATTTCGTGTAAAGTTTACAGGTATTGCAAATAACTATGTATTATAAATTGTAGGCATAAGAGTAAAGGACATCACTCCAATAGTTAACACAGAAGATCAAATTTTAAAAAATTAACAAAATTTTAGAGTTCTTGTATACCTTTCAATGTACCTAGTTCTACCATAAATAATGTTATAAAAGTTAACCATAAATACTGTTATAAAAGTTGAACTTTGTTTACATCCTTGGGTATTATTTAGATAATCCTTACCTCTTTCAGGTTATTTTCTTTACATGTCAGGATAATAATCCCAATTAGTTTGTATTTTTCTTTCACTCAGTTAGCATGGAGTGGGGTGATAAAGAAAACCGAATAGGTGTAATCGCCTTATACCAAATTGGAAAATGTAGGTCAGAGATTTTCAACACTTTGAAACCTTTGGGTATCAGCCTTAAGTTCGTGTATGGCACTATAAATAGATATAATGAGACCCTATCTGTGTATGACAGACCTCAACCGGGCTGTCTCCGCACTGTGAGAACGGCAAATGCAGTGAGAGTAGTGGCTGCTCGAATCAGAAGAAATCCCATTCGGAAAAACAAATCTTATCTCGGGAAATGGAAATCTCTGTTAGATCAAATTAGGAAAAAAGGAATTTGCTTGAAACAAGATCTAACTAAGGTGATCAAGTTTTGAAAAGGATCATTAATTAAAAAAGGAGAACAGGGATAGATTATGATATGATTTCCTTCTTTTTTTTTTATGTGAAGAAGCTGCATACAATATAAGAGAATATTAAATAAAAGGTCTCTCAACATGAAGGAAAATTTAAGTTACCTGCTTTATCCTATGACAGCATTTTTCGTAGTTTAAGTACATAAAAATTATTTTATCATACTTAAAATATATAACAATTTTCTAGTAACTCAAAAACACAAATGATTATTTAAGGGGCCCATACACGGTCAATATCAAATATATTGACCATCTGAGGAATATATTGTACCAATTACACATAAATTTGTAATACCTATACCACGTTTAATAATATTGTTTCAATAATATTTACCGTGTTAAGTGAGCTTTAGTGTTTACTTAATATAAATAAATAATAATAATAAAGATAATACTAATATTTTTGTATCAAGCAAGTAATAAATAAAAAAATGAATTAAATCTAAAGGTTCAAAATTTATGAAAAATTAAGAAATTTAGTATTAAATTTGTAATGAACATACTTTATTGCCAAAACATTCTTATATAATAAAATAAATTTAGGTAATCATTCATGCTAAAAACTATCAGTCTATAATAAAAATGCTTGGTTATTAAATTAAGATGTATATTTAACTTAATACAATGCACATTAAAACATAAAAATTAGAACTCCAATTTGTACTAAAAGTTAGTGAATCATTTACCTATCATACTTTCCTGAATAGTTAAAATAAACAATTGAGACTGTTAAAAAAATAAATAATGGAAAAATGAAATCTTATGAACATATATCAAATATTTAAGAATATATAATTTCAAGTCCTATAAAATAATATAAAAACTATTATTATGTCCTAAGCTCGTCTTACTAATTTATAAATGATCCATTCTCAATTCTATAAATACACATTCAGCCACAATCAAGTGTAACACACTTGTGTGCATCCTTAAAATGAACTAGTACCAAACAGAACACATTAGAATAGATCAGTCACAAGGAAAACAAAAACATTTACTTAGAGATTAACAGCCATCCATATTATAATTATTGAATAATATACCGAGATGCATGACATAGCAAGATAAATTAGCCAGTGAGGTTGCTCATTTTTGTATAACACTAAACAATACTTTTTAAAAACAATATCAGGGATAAATAGTTCCATGATATGTAATTCTTTTAGAAAAAAAAAATGAAATGTTCAATTGAAACAACAAGAAACAATATTTTTTAAAAAAGGGGTAGGACATTATAGTATCCTCATTAACACAAATCAAATTTATTGAATGAACAGGGTTTTTGATCGGCATTAAAAGAAAGGAAGTTATTAAGACCAAAAATATTTTATTAGTTAATAACCATGCAAAATTGGTGGCAAAATTTCACCAAGTTATTGTAGGCTATTAAAAAAGATATAAATTAACTATACTAATCTTAATACATCTTATTAATATATAACACCATTCTATAGAAACAGCCATAGATTTTTAATTCTTTAATTAGGTATAAGAACAACTTCTGAACAACATATAACTATTAAAACAATACATAAGTATCTTGGACATGAACATTAAATTTAGTTTTTTTTATCATGGGAAGAAGAAGGTTCTGAATCCCCACCACCCATGTTCCCCCCCATCCCACCAGAACCACTGGGATCATTGTTGGGATTAAAAGACTGCCTCAGCTGGTTAAAAAAATTAGGATTTTCTGTTTGCATATGTCTGGCCAAATTCTGTCCGCTAAAAAAAACAAAACAAGAAAAAACACATAAAGTTATCAGAGCATCAAAGAATAATAAAAAATTAATTTTTTTCAATGGTCAAGACAAGATAACTAATAGGGTGTATAAAAAAAATGACCGTTTTTCATCCAAATATTTGTATTATTATTTCTTTGATATAAAAAACAATTAATACTCAAAGTATAGTCCATTGTTATCTACTGTCATTAACCATCTGCTTGATCCCATTCTTTGGGGTGGCTGTCAAAGAACTCTTGGACCACAATTTCAACTTCTGCAAAATTATCAAATTTTTCTCCTTGAAGAAAATGGGGCAGGGATCTAAATAAGTAGTGATCCGAAGGTGCGAGACCTGGACTATATGGTGGATGAGGCAGGAGTCTCATATCAGAAGGGGATTTTCAATAAATTTTCATTTAAAATATCTAACCTCTAAGCTGATTGCTGAGAAGTAAGTTCGTGAGGGACCAGTCTTACTGCTCTTTTTCACCTTCCCCATAGAAAGTAGGTAGCAACTAACAGAACACAACACATTCCCTGGCAAGTTCACGAGTACTCATGGATGGATCTGACTCAATAACTTCCTCCAGAACCTCATCAATATCCATAAATGGTCACCCAGAGCTCTTCTTCCTTTCCAACGTTGTATCTCCACTGCTAAATATTTTAAATCAACGCCGTGCAGTGCACTGGTCAAGGACTCCTTCCCCTTCATATTTAATAATTTCACGAGTTGCTCCAGCAGCTGTGAAACTTTTTTTTCTGTAATGCCTTGAAATTACGAGAATTTCAAAGGACACTGTCATGTTTCTTATTTGAAACAGATAACTAAACTGAGGCTTTTTTTTTTTTTTTTGATGAAGTCGAATGGGATTAAACAAGTTTAAAATATTTAAAGTCCTTTAAAATCTTGAATTTGATAAAACGGTCATTTTTTTTTAAACACCATTATTAGAAAAATTATACTATTAGAAGTTATATACTTTTTTTAATCAATTAATATTTCTTTGAAATATCAACAAATATTTCTATATTCTATATTCTCATATCAACAAGAAAATTCTACACTTAAATATGAAGAATACAGGGAAAAAATAAGAATAGTGGTTGTCAAATTGTGAAATGTGGGAGTGTCAAATTCTTCAGGTTTTAATGAAGATATTTCTTGTGGCCTGAAGGATTTTATATTTTTCTTTCTTCTTACGTTGATGGAGTAGTTATCCCAAACACCATTATAAGTACTACGATGGTACATCAGATATGGTCTGTCTTGAGACAATCGCAATTACCTATTTTTAGGCAATTCCATTTTAGTCTTCTGATTAAAGAGTCTCATATTTTTATCCCATTCTAAGTGAGAATGGCTCCAGATTGGAAACGTAACTTCAATGGACTCTGGACTCTTGGCAGTATGAACAATGTAATGAAAAAATCGTATAATCGTATAATCCATCACGATCGTCTCCTTTTCACACTTTGGCGAGACGAAAGAAGAGCCAATTTTATTTCTTTTGTAAAATACCTCTGCTCATCTTTTATGAAGTTCATTCTCCGTATGAAATGAAGCTGCTTCAACTCCAGCCAGTCAACAACTGGATCTATATTTTTTATTTTTGCAGTATACTTATCGCAAGAAGAGCAGGTATCTGTTCTTGGATATCCAAACAAAACATTAAATTATGCGTTGAAAATCGCATAAGGTTTCGTAGAACACGAGGACACCACAATATTTTTCCTTGAACATTTCACACATTTTTGAAACATTTAAATCCTCACTCAAGTATAGCTTTTTAGAGTCTTCAAGGCTATAATAAATCATCCTGCCTTTGAACAATGAAACGTGCTCATGAATCTTGTCTGCAGTATCTCCTTTCAATTTTCTGTGTTTTGAAGAGGACTTACCTCTTTTGTCAGTGGGAGATATGGTGAGTTTTCAGATGTTTTTGGATAAATTCGATTTTGCCTTTCCTAATCCTGTGAATGGATAAAAACGCTTTGAAACATATTTCAATATCTTCACTCCATTCTTCTTTTTTCACGCGTACTCGGTGGTGAAATGAACAATCATAGTATATTGCATCTTTAATAGCGAGACGCGGTCTGCGTTAGCTATCGGAACCATCGTAATTAATCCCGCTAAATAAGAATTCTGAGCATCCATTGACGGCAATGCATTGAAGAGCCCAATAATGTATTTTCTTTCCTCACATGTAGTGTTTGGAAGAATTTGTGGCGTTTGCATAGGCAATCTGGACCCAACTTGTGAGATTGTAGGCGAATTTTCTTTATCACATCAGCTACTCTTTCAGTCTTCTTTCTTTCCTTAAATCTTCTTGGCTCGTTCATCACTTCATCTTAATCACACTCCATTATCATTGCTTTATTGGCAAACAATCCGAATCGATAAAAAAACAAGGGCACACATAATAGCAGATAACAAGGGCCCAAAATCAGGTTGTAAACAATCTGTGAAATATGCAGGAAAGTGAGGTATGTAACAATAGACAAGGTTACATTTGTAACTCCTTGTTTTTTCCTTGTGACTATTCTTGTTTCTTCCCAGAAGGCAGATTTTTCAACTTCGATTTTCATTGGACTGTCCTGTTTTTAAACCTAAGATGGTGTTACCAACTCTTAGTACTTGTAAAGAGCAACAGAATGCACTGAATAACGAAAAATCGGAAAAGTAAGGACTATCCCCTTGTTTTTTCGCTGTACTCTTCATATTTGAAATCTCCAACAAAAGATTGTATAGAAAAAATAACAAATGAACAAAAACAAAGAGCATATTAGTAACACAAATTTAAAGATAAAAAATTACAAAACAAACATGATTTTTTTAAATTTATCTTAGAGAAAAATTTAAAATATAGAAATAATTTATCTCAGTGGCTATTTATTCATGAATCAGAAACAGGCTTAATGAAGAAAATTTGTCCTATAATAAAGGTTATTTTTAATTTAAATTATTTTCCAGAATATTACTTAACTTAACTAGAAACCAGCTGTTAAACATGAGTTATTTTCATATTTCATTTTATACAATTAATTCAAGATTAATAATAAAAAAAAAAGTAAAGAATAAAACACAAAACTAAGATAAGCACTATGTAAATTGTGTTCACACTATGCCGTTTTTCTGCCAATTAAGAAGGCCTTATTTAGAAACTCCACAATGATCTCATATATTATCCGAGTTGGGCAGTAATTGAATATTTGTCCAATGTAGAAAGAGTCAGAATTCAAAGTGTAATCAATCAGGTTTGTATATACTCAAGAATTATGAATACTTTTATTATATTGATCACATGAAACTCAAAAATTATGAGTAAACATGTGATCAATTCTTTCTGTATTTAAATATAAGTAATTTAATAACTGGAGGAATTAAAATTTCAATTATTATTGGAATTTCATATCATTTGAATGCAAATTTAAGCTAATGCGTAATGAGCTTTCTCCAAATACTAATTTTTATAAAATTTATTTATTTTTTTAATCTAAATCAATAGAAGAGATGCATGAAACTTATCAACTTTTTAAAAATGTCTGCTTTGACATGAGACACATGTTTTTTAGACTTTTTACTTTTTTTAAACTATATATGAAACATACAGGAAAGAAATGCTGTTATAAAAATTTTCGAATCCATGTTTTCAATGGAAGTAAATGTTTTAAGACCAATTGAGTCCAAATCACCAAGCTTAGCAAAAGTGTGTGTATGTGTTAGTCGTAAGAAAAAAAGAAAATTGATAAACAGGTAAATTATTTTCTCAAAAACAGCTCCAACGATTATGATTAAACTTATTATAAAAATTAAAATAAAATGTTTAAATTTTAACCATGAACTAATTGGTAATTAACTAAAAGTTAAGTAAGAGTTAGTTCTAGATAGAAACTGTGAAATCAAAAACAGCTGAAAGCACCAGACTTTTCTGATCCCTCTCCATTTAAACTACTCAGTCAATGCAAGGCTTCATATTGTTGTTTATTTTGGTGTGAACAAGTAGTTTCTTAAAATATAGTAATAATATCTGATTGTTTTCTATTATAACTACAAATATTTTTCTGTTTGATAATGTTGGTTGAAGCTTAATAATTAACTTTTCCTTCCTTTTCTGTATTTATTTGTATAGCACAGGCTAGAAGGAATTTCAATAGCAAGAATGTTTAGCCTTTTGCACTCAGCTGTCCTCTGTAAGGGGACATGAAATTTTATTAGTGATTACGGAGAATGAACTTATTCCATCGCAATTTTTTAAGAAACGCATGTTTTCCTGTATTTTTTTTAAAATGGCACAAAAATCTTTTTTAAAAATTTATCAAGTTTAAAAAAAAAGCCTAAGTAATAAAATCTTATTTCACGTATATGCATATATATTCTCTTTAGAAGTTAAAATAGGAATTTCTATTGCTCGAAAAAAAATATTGTATTTTATTATAAGATATCTCACATTATCTACCATAGCATCATTTATTTTTAAATTTTCATGTATTATTCCTATTTCCGATAATATTTATATTCACTGCACAGATAATGAGTATATTTAGTAGTGATGTTATAAAAAAAAAAGAAACAAGAAAATCTGATGAAAAATAACGGAGTTACGGAATTATGACCAAAAAGATCAAGTTTGGGACCACTGTGGGTCCAATGACTGGTAATGTCCGAAATGGTTCCCGAGTGGAAAGGGTTAAATTCTAAATAGAGAATAGCACAGAAAACTTAACAGCTTTTACAAAACAAGCAGGCGAAATGACAATTCCTTAAACTAGACTTAATCTCTCCAAACCATATTTCCCAACAATGTGGTGAAATAAGGTATTGGAAGCGGCAAACAAACAGAATATGACATCAATAAAAAAATTACTGAAGAAATATAAATACTGAAAATCATAAGAAGGCAATGAGAGCTAAGGTAAAAATATCGTTATATATAAGTTGAAAAAAACTTATTTCGAAAGAAAAATTAGAATAGCTGGAGAAATGACTACAGG